TTTTCCCATTCATTTGACTCCAAAAATATGCTATCCAGCATTCTCACATTAGTGGGAACTCTCTACAGGGTCCAGTGGCAAGAGAATGGGCTGAGCAAGAGAGAGCTCACCTCCTCACTTGCTCTCCTTTTATAGCCATCAGAACCACGCCCATAATTTCATGAACGCATCAACCCATTCACAAGGGCACAGTCCTCACAATCTAATCACCTCTTAAAGGCCCCACCTTTCAATACCATAATCTGATTCCCCACCCTCTTAGCACTGTTACAATGGGGGTCAAGTTTCCAATAAAAAGACTTTTGGGGGACACATTTAACCCATAGGAACTGACAACACCAAATACTGATGGTAAGAATATGGAGCAACAGACACTCTTATTCATTGGTGATAGGCATGCAAAATGGTACAGCTGTTACAGGGTGCACTTAGTTCCTGTCTGAGGCTTCCCAAAATTGATACCAAACTCACAGGTCTGGCTTCCTGCCCTCAGACAAAAGCAAGCCACTCAAAAGTCAAATATTGGTGAAAACAGAAGTCAGCTTTTATATAGGAATACCAGTGACCCGAGGAGAGATGTTAGGATCTCTCCCATAAACTTGAAGGGGAATGGCCAGGCTAAAGCCATCTCAAAGACTCAAGTTTGCTGAGGGGTTTTTTTTGTTTGTTTGTTTTTTTAATTTTTATTTTTTTAAATTTTTAAATTTTTTTAAAAGATGACCGGTAAGGGGATCTTAACCCTTGACTTGGTGTTGNACCAGTTAAATTTCCTGGCCGATAGTAGCAGTTGAGTAAAATAACATTATTTATTTATTTAAAAAGATAACCGGTAAGGGGATCTTAATCCTTGACTGGGATCTTAATCCTTGACGCTCTCCCAAGTGAGCCACGGGCCGGCCCTAAAATAACATTGTTATTGTTGTTATCATCATCATTGTCATTGTAGGGGAATGAGACAGAATTTTACCTCCTTCTGTTTTAGGGTTTCTTTTGGGCTGGGCTTGAGAATTAAATTGAGATAAGACAGGTCTTTAGGAGAAAAACATACAAATTTATTTAGCACTAGTCTTACAAGGCACAGGAGCCTTCATAAAGAATTGGATACCCAAAAAGCATTTTAGATCAGTTACTTATTTGAGGGCATATATGCTGAAATGGACAAAGAATAGTAAATTCTGAAAAAGGCAACTAAATTATGGGAGGAGACTTAAAAGATAACAATTATTTTAACAAGGACTGTACAGAATTCTGTCTGTACTTCCTGTCCCAGATAAGATGCTGCTTTCCTTCTAGTAGAGGGAGGGTATCTTTCACATGGGAGTTTCATCTCCTGTTTCTAAGAAACAGAAAAGAGGTCAGAATGATTTTCTTGCACCTGCTGTTTTTCAAGCACCTTTAATCCAAAGGAGTCAATTGCCAGCGTGATATATTTTTAATATCTTCATCATCAATGATGCACCAAAAACAAAGAGCCTAGAGGTAAGAGCCTCATAAATCATCTCTCGGTCTTACTCCCCCAAGCCTGAGGTTCCAAGGTGAGAGAATTAAATGAGGTAAACTAATTAACTTCAGAGGCCACAAAATATTCTTGAAACAATTCAGATGATTATTCTGTAGGCTATAAGATTTATTATTTT